AGTATCAGAAATGTTATATTCTTTATAACAAATTTATAAATTTATCTTAAGTTGTTTCTAATTATCAGTAAGAGTTAACATTATAAGAGATTTAAATGTACATATTCAAATGAAAAGAATCGCAATTGTGATAATATTAACAAGCACAATAATTAGACATGCGTCGACATTGGCAAATTATAAATAAATCTCCAAGCTTTTAGTATGAGAATAATGATTATTACGTGGCAGTCCATGATTTGCAAGCACGTTTAAAACAACAATGAACGCATAAGCAGATGCTGTGTAACTCTACCTGGAGACCTTCCTCTCCATCCGGAAACTTGGAAGTAGTTTTTGTTTTTTTCTTTTTCTTCGTTTTATTGCCGATTTTGGTTTTCGCCTTTCTGCGAACTGGTGGCTCGGCCGGCGGTTCGACACCGCTCTCTTCGACGCTGCCTTTGTTACCCTCGGCGCCAGAAGGCTCCTCCGCATCGGCCAACATCTGCTCAAATTCCATATCAGAATCCGCCGCGGAGCCTGCTGCGCTACCTTCCGCTTCCTCGTCCTAAGTAAAATTCAGTCATAATAAAATACTTATATAAAATTAATGTCGTGCAAAAATTAATTCAAACGCATCTCACACATACTGAGCTTCCTCTTTTACGTTTTCCAAGCTTAATCTTAAGCGTCGGAACTTTCGACGCTTTTTTGCCTTTTTTCGCTCTCGAGCTGCGGGACTTTTTCTTCCTATCGCTATCCTCGTCGTCTTCCTCCTCGTCCTCGGGTTCCTGCATAGCGCCACTTCGATTTGCTCTAGCATTTCTACTATCGTCGTCAACATTTGTGGATGAGACATCCGCGTCTGGTTGCGTATGTGGATTTAATTCAGAAAAATCGCGCCATTTTGCTGCCACCAACATCATAAGTTTTGACATTGGAACCTAATCATTCAAAACAGAGAGATTGTTACTAAAGTAAATGTACTATAGTCGATAAATTATCATACTAAATACGAAATGTATGATTATGGCTGACATGGCATAAAGAATAAAAAAATGTACGTACTTTTGGATTTTCTTTCGCTAAAAGTGGTCTGACGTGTTGTTGGAACAGCTTGTATGTTGTCAAGTTTTGGAAATCAGCATCAGAATACTCAATTTGTACATCTGTTAAGCCAAATGTATTGCACACTTCTTCAATTGTGGGCATGCCTGTTGTCGGTTCTTGGCTCTGAGTGGTCGGTGCGCTATGGCTGGAGGATTTTCTGGACGATGACTTTCTGCTTTTTCTATTGACGGCATAGTCGCTATCCTCGCCAGCCGCATCGCCGCCTGCTTCACCGCCACCGAAATCGCTTTCCTATAAATACGAAAATATTAAATAATGTGAACACATTATCTTTGCTAGATGACTTTTTAAAGTAATGATATGCAATCTTATACAACAAGCAAATGTATGAGAAAAATATACTTACATCCCCAGAATCGGATTTTTTCTTTTTCTTCTTCTTCTTTCCCTTCTTATCCTCACTACGTGCTTTCCGCTTCTTTCCCTTCTTCTTTTTTCGCTCTTCTGGTTCATAATCATCATCTTCTTCCTGTACAGAATAATTTTCATTTACAGTTTTAAATATCAAGTTCAAAATATTTATATATATATATAAATCATCATAAAGAAATCATAATTATCACAAAAATAAAAAAATATCAGTTTTCATTATATTATTTATGATTATAAGTTGTAAGTAATATTACTATTACATATTAAACTTAACTTGTTACAGAATATAAAACTTACTAATCTTTGAGATTCTTCAGCATCAGATGAACCATCTACTTGCTGACCGACATTCGGTATCTGCCCTCCAGTCTCTTCCATGTCATCCTCTCCTAAAAAAAACATGTTTCAAATTTGTTATTAGAAAATATTTTTAATTTCAATAATTATTGTTATTTTTCATAATATTTGCACTTGTAAAGTAATGTTTTATAAAAATAGAAGTTGATATATAAAGCAGTATTTTTTCAAAAAACAGCAGTATACCCACACACACACTCATACATATATGTACATACATACATACATACATACATACATACATATATATATGAGAAAATTAATCTTTGCTACAAAAACGGCAATAAAAGATTTCTTTTTTCATAAATATGTGACACAATTCTCTTCTGCAATATATTTTACGACTTCTATATTCTTCTGTATGCTTTGCAAATAATAATTTTAAACTTTGCAAGCGAGTTATATTATCCTCGATTATATTTAATGTAATAATTTGAGAAAATAATTAAATAAAATTAAAGATATTAACGATATAAATTCGATTGAACATGCATATTCTAATTTATCACTGAGAAAAATTTGACTTGCAAAGATATTTAATAATGGCCGAATCAATTGTGCTCTATAGTACAATATACGCGGCATATCTTTAATAATATGCACGGCAAAGAAAATTCTGGAAAAGCATCGAAAAGCTGAAAGAAAACAACAAGAAAAAAAAATAACGCGCCGAATATAAAATTCACGATCGGCGGAGCCGAAAGAAGGACTCACGCGAACGTCAAAGTGATTTTGAATTAATCAACGTTTCGCGAATGCTTTGTGCGAGTGTGCGTCCGCCATTTTCTTTAATATAGGCATAACTACATTCTACATTTGACATCAGGCAAACACACATACACGCATATTATTCGCGCGCGCTTATATGTATGTTCACACGTATTCGCACGCATACGTTAAAATACTTAATTTCTTTCCAAGTTTCAACCAAGAATAATTCGAGGAATAATTATGATCGCGTAAAATCCACGTTCATTTGCGGCGAATTTTTAGCGAAACTGCGATGGAGGTTAGACGCCGGCTGTATCATTTATAATCATGCGTGCGTGCGTGTATATATGAATCACGCGCGCGCAACATGATGCGTGTGTATGTGAAACGCGGATCCATAACTTTTTTTGCGCGAACGCGTGTTACATACATTGTAACATGGCGTAAATGTGTAATTACGCTTCGTCGATTGGAAATGGTTCGAACTCGTATATAATTACTAGAGAAAAAAAATTCTATCTATCTCTTTCATACGCGTAATGTGTCATTACAGAATATTCACCGACATTTAATGAGCGTTTGTAGCGTTGAAATTAGAGACAAACACACAGAAGCGTTAAGTTATCTGTCGGTTATCATCACGGAATATAGCGTACGTGCAACCATGTCAGATTTGCAAATCAACCATGGCTGCGTTCGATTTCTTCAATTCTTAATTATTCGGAATTATGGATATTTATGATTACGTAAAATCGAATAAAACGACGCTAAAACGAAAGATATGCGATTGTCGAAATAGCGATTCGTAAAAAAAAATCTAGTTTGCTTCGAGAAACGGAGCGTGTAATATCATTTTTACATCATATTCATAAATGATAAATTTATCTCTCTCGCGAAAAGACTTGCCCGGCGATTCTGACCGCGTCGTCGCGACGTTTGACAATCGGCGAAAGAAGGTTAGCGACGCGTGTCTTTCCCCGTCACTCATTTACGCGAGCGAACGTTCACGCGCATTCACGGCCTCGAGATGATTTCGCTCTCCTTCGGAACTCTCGGCAATGCAGCGTGGCGGCGTCGACCGATTGAGATGCGTCGGCAGCCATTTATGTACCGAAAAGCGCGCGTCCCGCGTTGTATACTATACGTCGCACACCGTCCGGCTCGCACAATTGTCCCGATGCCATTCTCGTAGCTATGTCTCTTTGTCTGTGTATGCTGTCTCTCTCTCTCTCTCTCTCTTCCTCCTTCACCTTTCACTCACTCTCTCTCTCTCTCTCTCTCCCTCTCTCACACACCACACACACACACACACACACACAATCTCTCTCTCTCTCACCTGCGTAGTTTTCGTCCACCTCCTCGTCCGACGCCATTCCTCGGCGAGCACGCTTCTCGGCACCGACGACGAAGCACGAACGTTACACTACGATCACCACGATGAAGACGACGACGACGACGACGATCGTCAAACCCGCCGCTTCGCGCGGTGTTCGCGATCCGCTCGACGACGTCGACGATCACTACAGCGACTCGCTTCTCCTTCTCGTTACACCACTTCTCCTTTCACTTCACTTTTTCTCACGACAATATACTACAGAAATACCAACTTCGTTATGTACAGGCAAGATTTCGGCGTGCCGTGACTAGATATAACTTTGCCGATATATATACGTACCCATATACGAGAGCCTCTTCGCCACTACCGTTTCACTACTGTCGCCGCCGATTCGTCGTTTCTTTTCGTTCTTCCCCCACTCTGTTGCGTTTTCCCCTACTTTTCCCACTCCTACTTTTTCTCCTTCTTTCCCGCATCTACTCTATCGCTGATTCGCAATTCGCGCGCGAGCGTCTCGTAACAAAAAAAAAATAAATAAAATAAATAAATAAATAAATAAATAAATAAATAAACATAATGTCTCCTTTTTTCGTTCTCGCTCCAGTCTTTTCTACGTTCTTACCTGTCAATTTTAATCTATAATATCGCTACATCGAATCGTTTGACGTTTTCCTTATCTTTAAATGCATATTAGTTTGGTTTTGTAACGTCGTTCTTTCGCATTTTAAGAAAGTTCGTTCATAGACATAAAATATAACAAACGGAGCATTAGCTGTCGATATGAGAACAACCAATGAAATATTACCCTAACATAGAAATCCACGAATCGAAAGCTATATTGTTGTAGTACAATCTGGTACAATCCATTAGCTATAAGCGTTTAGTTGTTTTCTCTCTAGTTGTATTTTTTTATCGACTGCGCTATCATTGGATAACGAGAGAGGCGGAGAAACTGAATTTAAACATTTATTTATAAAATTTAATTATAAATTACTTTTCCAAGTATTTCAACGTCAAATGTAGCGCATGTCGTACACGGACTTCATCAACTTTTGTTAAAATACAAATGTTCCTTTTAAAAAAGATAATATATATATATATATATACACAAACAACCTAACCTATTTCCTAACCTTTGAGCTTCAAGACGCGACTAGTTCATCATATTTAATCATAGATGGCAACGTGATTGAACGATTTCGTCAGCATTCGGCGCATTCACGAGGACTTTTCGCAAGCGATACAGATAAATCTTTCGTAAAATGGTAAATAAATTGAATTGCTAACTAAACCGGTGTCACTCGAAAACATGATCTTGTCGTCTAAACGCTGCGTCTGCATTATTTGACAATCACGCGTAAATTCATAACCTTATTTACAAAAATACCGGTGTTTTTTCCGTTGACATAAAGGTTATATTTCTTTAAAAGTTTTCGTTCGCAAAGTTTACTTGTGCGACCGCGAGTATTTTTTATGCAATAATTAAAATAATTTACGGTATCTTACAGAATTTACTATAATTGGAAAAACGTATCAATGATTTCGTCTACTTGCCTATTTGATAAATTGTATTAATAATGACGTACACTTGAACGATGCGCATTATTATTATTTAATTTAGAAACTGTTATTATTTAATTTATAGCACGATTCTTGCATAATATTTAAACGATAATAAAGCAAAAAACTCACGAGTATTCGATTATCAATAAAGTTGCACAAACAATGATCATTGTTGAGAATAAAAATTGTAACTGATGTTGCAATAGTTTCAGAATATTGCATCTTGTAGAGCAAGTTTAAAAGGAGCTACAAGATCGGTACAATCAACGAGAAACTTGAGAAATGGCTCGAGAGAACGTTTATCGTTATGTACGCTTCAATCGACATCGCTGGAAATGCTCAATGTTCAAATGCAGCGGGTAAGTTTCTTGCTGTAAGAGTGAATGATGTTGACAATTAACAAAAATACTTTTGCAGATTCGACTATATTCGAATCCGGCACGGCGGCCAAGTTTCTTGTCTCAGTTCATCGAAAATATCAAACAGGAAATGCAAAAGAACAAGGAAATGAAGGAATCTTTAAAGAAATTTAGAGAGGAGGCTCAGAAATTGGAACAATCAGAAGCATTGCGCACAGCGCGACAAAAATTCCATGCTGTTGAATCTGAAGCTAACAAGGGTTCAGAAGCTATTAAGGAAAGGCTAGATACATTTAAAGAGAAGGTATATATACACAATCGACTTGTATACAGTGATAGTGTTATACAATTCTACAAGTTTACATTCAAAAGGTGCAAGAAGTTATCGAAGAGGCAAGTAAGACTGAATTGGGCAAACGCGCTGGCCAGTTAGGCGAAGAGATTACGAAATCTGCCAAAGATGCAGCAGAGACGATTTCTGAAAAGAGCCAAGCACTTGGTAAAACGGGTGCATTTCAAACGATATCGCACACCGCAGAAGCCGTACGAAATGAACTTGACCAACATGGAATTCTAGGTAGATAAATTTGAATAGACAGAGAATAGAAAACAGGATTAAATTTCATTTTTCCTTGATACAGGCAAAGTTTACGTTCCACCTAAAAAGCTACGAAAGAGGAATGAAGTGTCGATAGAACCTAGAGAAATTATGCCTGATCAGAAATCGACTGGTGTAGAGATACATAAAGATTTTATGTTTTCCAATGCCTGGCAAAAATTTAAGGTATTTATTGTACAGTGTCTTGTAAAAATTTAATGCAATGTGCAAATAGATAATGTGACAAATTTTAATTTAAAAAATACTTTTCTTTAATTCCATTAAATATTCTTTTAAAGGATACTAATCCATACGTAAATAAGGTAATGGACTGGAAGATGAAATACGACGAATCAGATAATGCTGTATTACGTGCTTCCAAATTGCTTACGGATAAAGTTTCGGACATTATAGGCGGATTGTTTCAAAAAACCGAGCTATCAGAGACCCTGACAGAGATCTGTAACCTGGATCCTAATTTTAGTAAAACTCAGTTTTTGAAGGATTGCGAGACTGATTTCATTCCGAATATTCTCGAAGCAATGGTCAGGGGCGACCTCGAAATTCTGAAGGATTGGTGTCACGAAGGGCCTTATAATATAATTGCACAGCCACATAAGGAAGTGAAGAAACTAGGACATTATTCAGATAGTAAAATTTTAGGTATGCATTTGTAAATTCATAACTCATTATTTATAAGCTGTATAATTATACGAGAGCAGTAAAAGAGGAATATCAATTAATCGTAGATATCGACAATGTGGATCTAATGATGGGCAAGATGATGGAACAGGGACCAGTTTTAATCATTAGTTTCCAATCTCAACAAATCATGTGCGTGAGAAACTCGAAAAACGAGGTGATTGAGGGAGATCCACAGAAAGTGATGCGCGTCAATTATATCTGGGTAATGTGTCGTGATCGAACGGAACTCAATTCCAAGGCCGCGTGGCGTTTGCTTGACCTTAGTGCCACCAGTTCGGAACAGTTAGTATAGTGCACGCGAGCATGTGAATTATTCGAAAAATTTACCCCGACCAAATGGAATCGTCGTATAATGTATATCGTTCTTGTACATTGTTGCTATCATTCGCATTGAAATGAGTGATTAAACGCGGTAGGAATTCCTTAGCGATCGCATTAAGCGATCTCACCGATCTAGCCAATCTATATAGAGCGCAACGTATTTCTTATAAATCAGAATGTTTATTTATGTGTACAAGATTCTAGAAATGCGACGTGTGTAAATTTTAATTTTGCATAATGTAAGTACGTACGCATTTTGTTGAGTTATTGCTTTCAAAATGATATATTTGTAAATGCACCGCGAAATGACACGCATCGTTCAATACGATCCGCGATTGTGCTAATTTTTTATTATTTAAAAGTAGTCCATTTTTAAGATAATGACTATTTATCGTATGCGTAACAGAACAAGTGTTTAGCGATAATTATTCGATTGCGTTTTTACTGATTAGCATTACATATTTAACATATAGAAATTTTCGCGCCCGCTTCTCTGTTTGTACATAACCTTCATTATATAATGTTAAACAATACAATATAAAAAATTTATATATTGCAGATTCATAAATATTAACTTTCAAATTATATTCAGAAGCGGATCTTGTTTGCAACTTGCTCTATAGTCATATGTAATAGATATTTAAATCAAAGCTTGTCAATCATATAGTTGGCAATGATAAACCATGCCTTGATCCTTTCTTGATAAAGATGAGTTATATATTTTATTGCTAGAGAAAATTACTAAAACTTATCTTTTTAATGCTTAAATCAATAATGCAAAAGAACAATTGCAGATATGAGCCTCTCGGAAATCATATTGACCAACACCATATTTTGTAAACTTCTTAATTTTAATACCCGAGTACTAATCATGTATTCTTGTATATTAAAATGAGGAATTTTACAAAAAATGGAATTGATCAATTTGGCATCAGAAAAACTTATATATTAGCTAAAGATTTTGAGAGATGAAATCATTTCTCTTTTCCATTTTATTTTAAATATGATATAAATCTGTAGTACACGAATGGATGCAATGGAATATATAGATATATCAGGTATGAAAATATATTCAGATACTAAACATTTGTTAATAAAGCTTTTTGTATATGTGTATGTGTGTGTGTGTGTATATGTGTATATATATATATATATATATATATACACACACATTCATACATATATACATTATATGTATATATGTACAAGCTGATATTTAAGATTGTAATGTACAGTGAGAAATTGTTAAAAGAACTGTTGATCATTTTTTAAAAGCTATATACAAGTTTACAGAGCTCAGATCGATTGGAATTGAAATGGAATAAAATGATACCCAGTGTGAACACAGCGAGCATAGTATTATTTTTCTATTTAAGAGATAAAAATCCACGACTTATTGCAGGTGAAGATTATATAAAGTAATATTATAAAAAAAAATGATACATGATGATAAAAACCTAAAGTACAATTTTATTTATACTCTTTATAATACTACATTTGCGTTGTAATTTTTTATCCTTTGTATAAATATACACAGTGAGTAAAATATCATATGTGAATTTGAAAGGGGAAAAAATATTATAATTAATATCATGTTTTTATACCTGTTTAGATCTGAGTTTACTTGCAAACGCAGGACTCTGCGGATTGGTCAGCTGTTTCGTCGCTTTAGCGATAATCGGCAGTTTATATTTCGGCATTGGTCTGGCCTTGATTTCCGCCAGTTTACGCAGCTCCGCCTTTAACTGTTTTTCGTGCTCCATTTGCTTCCTCTCTTGTTCCTGACGCTTCGTTTCCTCCTCCATTTCCTTCCGCTTCAGCTTCTCGTCAAATGCGCGTCGTTCTTTTGCCCGTTTATCAGTGTTCAATTCCAGTGGAAGGGCTTTCAATGGTACTTTTTGCTTATCATCGTTGCAAGCAGAGCTCTTTTCCGTCGTCTGCATATTTTCGCCTTCTGTTATGTAAGAATCAATCCCATTCGGTTCCTTATTTTCTTGATTCTCGCACTTGTATTCCGCGTTATGCTCGCTTTCTGTTTTCATGCTCTTGTTTTTTACAGAAAGATGCTCCTTGGATGTACCGCGTACCATCACGGGTTTGAAAACCGGTGCGGGATTCGCGCGAAACACGCGCGACCGCTTGCTTTCCTCGAGTACCTGCTTCACCAACTGCTCCTTCTTCTCCGACAATTTTCTATCTCGTTCTTTGAAACTGAACGAAGACGGCAGGACCAGCTTTTTCGCGTTCTGTTGCTGCTTGGCCGACGGCGTCGACGGCTTCGTGGAACTCGACGACGTCGACGACTTCGAAAAATTCGGCGCCGGCCTAGCATGAAACTCCGCCTTGGTTTTGCTGGCCTCCTGCAAATTCTTCAATCGCTGTTCCTTCTTCATTTGCATATCCTTGTTGCGCGCCTCAAAACTAAACGGCACGATACGCGTAACATTCTTCGTGGTATTCTTGGGTACACCAAAAAACGCCATTTCTTCGTGTTGTACGATGATGCCCTCGGAATCGGTTACCACCACATTCGTAATCGTGTTCTTCAGACCGGACGGCGCCTTATCACTTTTGGACTGAAATGAGCTTTTGGTCTTTTCGTCAGGCTGTATTGCGGAAGAGGTATTTGCAATTACCATCGGCTTCCTCGCGGCGCCGTTAACTTTCGTCGTCGCACGCGGACCTCGCAATACATTAGACGGTATCGGATTAGCCTTTATTCGATGCTTTTTCATTTCCTCCATTTCCAGTTTTTCGCGTTCCTCCTGACTCAACACAGTAACAGGACGAGTCCTATTCTTCGATACAAGCGCTGGCGAGATTGGTATTGTCGGTTTTAAACGGTTTTGCGTCAATTTGGACACGTAAAAGGATGGGCTAATTGTATTGTCCTTGTTGCTTTTGGTGCGAAAGCGCTTGGGTGTCTCGTTTTGGAAGCGCGACACCGCTTCCGCTAATCCGATGTATTGCTTGTTGACCGACGTTTTACGTTTGTGCATGCTTCGTCTATGATTTTGCCAGGTGAGAACTGCGACTTGCTTAATAGACTGCATTCGATTACCTTTCGCATCTACATCGTCCTGACTGTTCCCTGCTTTCTTGTCTTCTTCATTGTCGTTAGTGGATACTACTTGTCCATCTTGCAACTTCTTATTATCTTCTTCGTTATGTTTCTTATTATCTTCTTTGTTATGTTCCTTAGTATTATCTTTTTCGTTATGTTCCTTATTATCTTTTTCGTTATGTTCTTTATTATTATCTTCTTCCTTACATTCTTCATTGTCTTCCTCATGACATTGTTTAGCCTTCTTATTTGTAGAATCATCTACTGGATTGGATGTCTTGAAAGTATCGTTCTCTGCAGAATCTTTATCTTGCTCAAACAGGGATTGTTTAACCAACATCTTCTTCATATAATTACTTGATGTTTTATTAATTTTTGTAGGTCTTCCTGCAGAATCTTGATTAGATTGATTGTTTTTGTTCAATACACATCCAACAGATCTGGACGATTTAGTAATTTTAGGCATGCTTGGAGTCTTGAAAATTTTAGGCTCTTGGATGGATTTATTTAGTACATCTCGAGTTTTAGGCATCTTTTTGCAGAGCTCCAGTTTTCTCATTGCATCGTTGAACACCTGATCGTAAGTTACTTCTGCTATTGCTGTCTCCTTATTATTACGATATTTTGGAGAAATCACTTTGACAGGAGTACTTCTTATAATATCCAAGTCTGCTTGCGCCTTTGCATTAACACATAAGACGTCTACCTGAGATGTATGTTGAGCATTTTCCATATTTTCAACAGTAGAGTTACAGGATTCTTCTATACGTTCATGTACTGTATGCTCCTTTTCAAAGAAATCCTGTATCTGTACAGGACTGCAGTTTTGAGTAAAATCTATCCATTGTGGTGCGCGTATATTACAATAGTCTGCCATTATGTCAATGAGATATGTAAAATATGATATTACCGAAAAGTATACTGATATCAAGTCATAAAAGTAAAAGGATCACTGTAGTACATTAAAACATATGAAATATTTCATCTAAATAACAGTGCTGTTAACGACAATCTGAAATATAAAAATTCAAAATTTCAATATCTCTCATACATTTTGTAATTTTATATGTAAAATATTTTAAAAATAGAGGATCTAGTATAAAAGAAAGAGTAAAATAAACAAAGTTTTTAAAATCTTTTTCTTTCTTTTCCAAGTTATTATCCACTTTTGTGTGTATCTCAATCATTCTTAAGCTATTAATAGAGAATGATAATTTAATAAGCAAATATAAATAAAATATTATTAATATAACTATTAAGATATATTAACAATATTTACACTTCTCAAGGTAAATGGCAGCTAACGCCATTCCTTTATTTGACAACAAAAATTGTTTCAATTTATCGCTAATATTATGTATGTGATTCGAAGGATTCATAATAAAAGAAATATTCAAAACAAAGGTGACAAATTGGAAAAATTCATATAATAATGCAATGTATTTTTTATCTTACCCTATAGATAATAAAAGTGAGAAATACTATTAATACTTTCATAGTAAGAAAACAATTATCTATCAGTGTTTTTGTGCAGATAATGCAGAAACCCATTTCTGTCATTATAAATCACCATTTAAACAAGATTATGTATACAAGATCCGATGTTATTATTGCAAAATTAAGATAGAAGACCAGGATGCGCAATGTACTTACATTCAATTATACATTAACGTCTCACGTCCGAAACTATTCATCAAAGCACGAATGTCGTGCTGTTCCTAATTTCTTCTCTTCTTATTGTGTCGTATATCTTAAAATTATATATTCGATTTCTCGGTTGATTAAGAAATCATGCAGAATAAAATGAAATGTGCCAGAGAATGATCAGTCCACGATGGAATTGTTCTATACGTTATACGACTATACGTTAAAGTTTGAATCTTTCGGTGGTTTTTTCGGATTGGCTGCGGTGTTGCTAACCAGTGGAGAGGAGGGGATCGATTTTCTCACGCATGCGCGTCAAAAATAGTCCTAGTGGAATGTGAAGTTCGAATAAAAACAGAGATATTGTTTAGCCTCTCTTTTTAATTGTTTCTAAACATTATCCAGATGTTTATTCACAAATATATTTTAGAATATTATAAATCAATATATATATTAAAACAAACTTATTTAATTTACTTACTATCACCTGTTACTGTCACCACATAACGCATGCGCGAAAAGCCCGCCATTTACGTAAATTTGTTCGATTGGTTCCTGAACACGAAATTTTCATGGAGAAACATTTAGTTCTGAAAATCTCTAAATATATCCCTTCTATAAAATACGTAACAAATTTACAATGGATTTATCGGAAATATTTTCTATGTTTAATAATCAATCAATTTGATTGACGAGATTAAAAGATAAATCATAAATTATACATAGAGAAAAAAAAAATTTTAAATATTAAATATACTAAATAATCCAATTATAAATTAATTTTATTATACACATAATTAAGTGATTGGATAACGTTTATTTGTTTCTGTTATTATGAACTCTTGGTATTACATATAAAATATCTATTGCAATGCGTTTTATGTACATGGAAACAGTGCTTTATTCTTTAAAAAAATATCGGGAATAAACGTAAATGCTTGGAAATGTTGTTTCAAAATAGCTAGTTTTTTTATAAGCATTGTAAAATCTTAACGTGTTGAAATGTAATTCTTTCGATACAATATTACGCTATCCACTCAGTACTGTATTGAAAAAGAATGTCGATATTGAATTCAGTACAATACAATGTACTCCAAAGTGTAAAGAGTAATCATCTATCGGTTTTAAAAATGAAATTTTTCACTTTCTTGAATTTATCTTTGAATGTATCACGTTAAAAAAAAAAAAGTGATATTATGTTTTTTCAAAACAAATATCGAAGAGACAAATGATGACAATATACGAATATCGAGACATTCAAATTATTCAGACTTGGATTTCGTCTCATCTTTGTAGTGAAGAAACACGAGAGAAAATAGAAACACGCCGCCCATCATGGAAAACGCACTTATATAATACGGGAACGCACTCGGTATAAAGCGTTCGTATTGCGTATGTTGCAGCGGACGCACAGACACTTGAGTGGTGCTGTAAAGATGCGTCAATCCAACGCGCTTGTAATCTACTTTGAACTGGTACACCCCGTATACATCGGGGATCTTGAATCTGCCTTCGTAACGGCCGTTTCCTACCGGCTTCATGGTCATACGCACGAACGGATCGATCCGCACGAATTCCAGCTGCAGATCGTTCGTCTCGTAGGGCACCCATTTGCCGCCCGACAGTCGTTCGACGTCGATTGAATATACCACGTCATCCATGATTGTATACGCGGCCGGCGGTTGCGATTCACCAACTCGGTGATGGTGAACGGATGACACGCGTATGACGCCATTCTCTTTAAATACCCACTGTGCCATAGCCTTTGCTACTATCTGATTACCAGATTTCTCGTATCTCTGCCCACCTGTAAACAATTGGCAATAGTTTAAGAACATTTAATTTATAAAAACATCAAAGATATATTAAAAAGATTGAAAGTTTTAATAGATAAAACCTTCGTTTTGAATAATTTCAAAATATTAAATAACAAATGTTGATAATATTATATAAACAGTTGCACTGATAATCTCCTGTTAAACTTTTGCTAAAAAAGGAGAGTGCAAAGAATTTAACTACTTCATTATTATTTTCCTTACCTTGTCCCTTTTGAACAGGGCTAGTGAATGCTTCATCGCTAAAGAAAAATATCGAACCCGAGAACAAAATTCGGGCATTATTCCTTGCCTGTAGAGCCGCTATCAACAAAGTGTTTTTACCAACACCATGTGGGTACTCTTTGATTACTTGGTCTGGATTATAAGTATATGCCGAGGTAGATGCCGATAAGAGGCGTAAAATTAAAGGATTATCCGAATCCGCAATCAATCCAGTTCCTTGATAGAGTAACGGAGGGATGTCTTTGCTTCCGACAATGATCTGAGCATCTATCAGATTAGCTGGGTCTGCTACTATAGTGGTGTGTTGACCGTTATCGGAAACATCGTAATTCATATGATCAATCACAGACGAACCCTCCTCATCTATTTCCAAGCCACATTCTGAGGCTAATTCATGCAAAGCAACACCAGATTGCGAGGAGCCAGCAATCAGAACATTTCCACCACCATCGATGAATTCTGTTATCGCTTCCACACTCAAAGCACCACCAAACTCTTCAACTGTGGGTGCAAATATTATTAAGTGTTCGTATAAATATTCGCCATACTTGGAGAGCTGTAGATTTGCATCGTCAGCTGATTTGAAAGTCAATACATAGCCACTGTCTGTAACATAATTCCAAAATATATTATGTAGCACATATTCAATCAACTATATTTGTTTAATTAATTTTTAACAAGAATGAGAATAAAAACAAAATTTGTTAGCATGTACTAAGTTAATAATTGATAAAATACATAAATAATGTATTTATACGTTGTGACTAGATAATATATTTAAAAACTGTTGCAAAAATGATTAAGACCAATAAAATATTTTGCAATAAATATTTGCTTGTTGGCTCTAAAAAAACTAAAAATTTAAAGATGTTATATAATATACATTATCACAAAATTTTATGATAAATAATGTAAGAGTCTCTTAATAAGTAACATCAATACTGTATGTTCCAACATGGTTATTAAATTTGAACAAGAGATTGAAATATACAAAAGATTTGTTTTTAATTATCTATCTCAATGTTTACAGAGACGCAGCTGATATTTCAAAAGTATTAATACTGAATACGACGCCGTATAATGCTCGGAAAATTGCGAAAACCGGCTATCAAGGAAAGCCGCTAGCGGTCAAATATTTGTAACGATTAGAGAAAAAAAAGATGATAATGTATGGATACCCTGTAATGTTTTGAAAAATATCGAATGTGTTTCCTTAATTGCGAGATTGTCCAACAAGACGAGGGTCGGGCCACCAGCATTTGCGCTGGCAAACACGAAGAGCAGACAAAATAACCTATTTACGAGCCTCATCGTACACTACTTGTGACAGTACTTCTTCTTGGCCATGACATGAGACACGTTGGCTCATTCGGAAGTGGCGTGTTCGTAAAAACATCGTAAACTTTTTCTAGGGACTTTAGCTAGTTATTTATTTCCCCCTGCAAAACACAGGAATTTTAGGATATCGACGATGTGATAGCGTCTGAAGGAATGTGTCATGTATATAGATGGTATCATCGAAATCACCCCTAATGAGTTTGGGCGTGTGTTTTAGATTCGCCTCAAATTTCTCAGTTATTATATTATCATCTCACATCATTATCGAATTTTTTACGCAATTTTTATTTCTTTAAATGATCTAATATAATGAAACGTTGGTCTTGCGTTTTCCTGCTCGTAACATGCCTCATATGGCATGGTAAGTTTATCCAATTTCTTTAAAATACAAAATATATATTCATTATAATATGCTAGCATGAAAAATAATGTAGAAATTTTGATTTTTTTGTTTATTAGGCTCTAAAATTTAATATCCGTGGGGTTTTATAATATTATATTTACATTCTGTTTTCTTATATTTACGTCATATATTTTAAATAAAAATAAAAATATAAAATTTGACAGTTACAGCTCAGAATGCAGGAGGCTGCCAAATTCCACTGGTCATCAGAGGATCTTGGTTTTCGTGGGAAAATGGCAGGAATACCTTAACAGAAATAAATGGCAACAGTATGACTAATCGGGGTATATGTGTAAATATGATGGAAGAATATCATGTTAATTATACATTTGTATTTCGTGACGCTAATACTCCGGCTATGTACGACAGCTGTTATCATTGTGTGAAACTTGTTGTCAGAACAGTAAATGTCCTGGAAAAACTTGAAGGCAAGTGATGAGTCGATTTATACTAATGCAACAAATTATTATACGTAAAAATAATGTATAAAACATAATTTATAAATATGTTTATTTATTCTTGTTACAGTGAGTTGTGTAAACTTACCCAATGGTGTCGAACCTACTGTGGATAATGTTTGCAAAGGTTTAAACGCAAACCAGCAACTCGTAACGTTGTTCTCTGAGAATTATGTGCCTGTAAATTGCAGGTCTTCTTTGGAAGGAGTTTGGCAGTTTGCTTATCAAGTAAGATAATAATATTGCACAAAGATAATCATATTTTATATTGTTTTATTAATTAATATCATTAATAGTAGTTTCATTAGTCATATGTAATCTCTCTATATTTATTATTTCAGAATCGATTTAGATTTACTGGAGAGTGTAATAATCCAGATGCGCAAATAAAATCTTGTCAGACTGCAGGAACTCAATTTCTTATAACCAATCAGAAATTTAATATTACTTACAAGAGATGTCCTGGAATGAAAGGAACCTTTGATGGATGTAATAAAATTTACAAAAAATATCTATATTTTGAGATTTTTTATAACAAGAAAAATATTGATATTGTCTCATTTCAGTGGTAGAATACAGTTGCTTGGGTGATTGGTTTGTGGATAAGAATCACTTCTTCGCAGTAGCGAATACAAAAGAATCTCGAAAAGACGAGAAATACAGATGTTTTTTAAAGAATCGCGACGATGATTTGTATATCGGTGTATCGATTACTGCGGAGTGTAATACTCTTAAAACTGTCGAGAAAAGTCCCGAACGTTTGCGAATTACTCCAGTTAAGTCCGAGATAGTCGAACCGGGTTGCCGTTTGCCCGAGGATATGTCTGGTAATTGGATCAACACCGCTAATATTGACGCAGATATCTTCATTAACGAAACGCATATTATTGAGACTTGGTATCCAGACGAAGGACGTTATCGACGGACGATTTATGTTTGTCGTGAACAAAGGGACTCGAGAGTAATGATGGCAAGATTGACTGTTGATGGATGGTATGTTTGTCAAATCTTTCACAAAGAAATATTTTTATATATTTGTATAAAATTTAACAAGTTTAAAAGTATTCTTACACATATTTTATAAAGATATACAAATCTTTATATTTATATATTCATTGAATGCATTTTCAGCCAAAAGGACTATGTTTGTTTCGATTTTGTACGACGACATCATAATATTATTAGATATCGACGTGGATTGGCTGTGATAAAAGATGATTTTCATACGGTGTGTTCTTGGGTCCAATTTCCCAATAAAGAAAATTGGAAATATGATCTATTTTTAGGTAATTACAATATAAATAAATAAATTTGTCTTTGTTTTTTCAATAGTTGATTGTACTATATTATTTCTTATATAACTTTGTTAGCAAGAAATCCCGTTCCGGTACGCTGTCCGATAGCCGGAAAATTTCAGTTCCATCAAAAAGGTGATGTTCTTTTTGAGACGAGGATTCTAGGCGGCGTCACTAAATCTCCACGTCCAAATATATATTGCAAACAAAATATTTCCGATTTTTCGGTTTGCACTACCGATCAAAAGGAAATCGCCATTGATGAGACGTATTGTTTATCTGTAGATCACTTGGGAAAACCAGTTGACATTTACAGTAAGTTTTATTAATATTTTATATACAGCCAATACATATATAATTCTATTCACATATTTATAATATCACACTATTTTTACAGGTGATCCCGATTATGTGATGAAATGCATCGGATTTTGGAAGGAGAACTTAAAATCATACCTAGTTACTTACGACGAACTGGATCCTTTTAGCAAATATCGTTGTTGGGTATATCAAAGGGCTGATTTGAATAGAGTGCTCTTGTCTCAGGCTATTGGTCCGTTCTGTGATCTCAAACAAGACGTGACGAGTCAAAATTATACGGAAGGTGCTGCAGTTGCGCTAGAATTGCAGGTAAGAAGGAAGAAACATCTCCTTGAGTATGATAAATGAACGCAATGAAATTCAAAATAAAAAATAGAACTTACCGACATATCATTAATTAATAGGAATACGAACGAGAACGTGATCAATGTCCAATGTATTTTGATGACGGAAGTAATCCTTGGGTGAAAACAGAAAACTTTGTCAACGTTTTCCATTTCGGAAACGGTGGTAATACAAAAAGTCGTTTCTTATTCTTATTTATCATACCATTAGTAATAGCATATTATAATAGAAACATGTAAAAATAATTCTCTTTGAGGATCAAACGTGTTCATTAATTCTCATAAAAAGCGCGATCGTAGTGCGATAAATATTTAAGATAAATATTGCATATATGTTTTTAAACAATTCTTATAATGATTTGTTTCGCACTGGCACTATATATATTCCGTCCATTTTGTAATTATGATTATATATGTGCCTTTAACACACTACTGCCTTATTCTGAATCTTACATAACTAGATGATGTACAATATAGATATTTTAACGTATAAGAGAAGTCCGTCCTCAAAGAATCTCTGATGTAAAACAAATGCATTCTGGTTCACACATTATTCATTTTATTATGCATATATGAACAGGATATAGAGAAAAGATCACAAGTAGGATGATTTGCTTAGGTACTTTTATTACCCAGGGAGAGGTTGAAAATAGTATCCTTGAAATTATAAAAGGATTTTTTAAATATTTTTACTGTTTGACGAAAGGAGAAATGAAACAGAATGTTTGAGATTTTCTGGATTTTAAGTAAAGAATCAAAATTATACATGTTTTAAAATTTATATGTACATTCAATATGTGTTTTAATTATATATTTTTATCTATACTATATTCATGTACTTATTTAAGTCAAAAACAGATAAGATGAAAAAAAAGAAGAACTGAAACTGAATAATTCTTATTTCATATGTATTATGTATGAAACAGAAAGCATTTGACAATTTTATTACATATGTTATACATTAAGACATTTTAAAAATAGTAAAATTTAATAGTAGAAAATTTTACATAAGGTTTCTTAAAAAATAGGAAAAGAAGAAAGGATATATAAAAAAAAATTGCTTAGTCTAATGTTTATTTAAGAATTCAAATGTAATGCTATAATTATATAAAACGTAATATATTTATATTTTTAGCATAATTTAAAACTAATTATTCATAACATATATACATATAAATAATTGAGAGATACATCGAAACTTATTTTGTCCAGCTCACTTTAGGTATGTCAAAGTGTTCGGTTAAGCTATCCAGATGTCGATTAAATTCCTCCACTCGTTGTTTATGAGTCTTGGAGGCTTTTTGTTTGATCCTTTCAGTTTGCTGTAAATTTTAATTATTACAATATTAAATGTCAGCACTAAGAATTCTTAAAATCGAATTATTTGTTGATATTAATATAATAAATATATATGTTTGCCTTACCATCTTTTCTTGCATTTTCTGAAAAGCTAACTCTGCTTTTGTTCGTATCACTTCCCTTTTTTCAGATTTCTCCTCCTCGATGATCTTTGAAACCTCTACCAGCTTCTTCTTTTTACCATCTTTGTTCTTCTTCCTACAGAAAGAGGACGATTTCTAATATAAGCTATTATTTTGAATATCGCTTGTTTTAATAAAAAAGAAAAAAAATCATTATTCCATAATAAACTTAACCTCATTTAACCGAATCAAAAAACATCAAATAAAGAAAATATTTACTTTTTGCTCACTGCTTGGTCGTTCTTCAATTTCAGGGCTCCCTTTGCAACGTGTGCGTATGGATCTTCGTTATCTTTCGTTGCAGGCATCGTGAATAGATGAAAATTCGTTATCAGAACAACCAACAAAAGTACGCCTTGACGTTTTATTACTTGTGTCTTGTGTCACTTCTCTAATGATCTAATGACGTTGAGTGAAACCAACCTCCAATAATGCAATGGCCGCGTTCAGCAGAGAAAGCGCTCAGTTATCGTCTTGTCAACATTCGACGTTGATTCGTTGGTTCTAAAAGTAAGAATGCGCATCATATAAAACGATTGGCTATATGCTATACATACATCTATACGTTACAAGTTGGCGGTAGTTCACTTCACGTGGGTCGTGGGTTTACAGTTTTACAGTGGCTGATGGTTTGTGAGATATTTACATAACCTGCACTTCTGTAAGTATACTTATTTTTATATACATATTTATTCTTATATTTATATACTTGATATATATATTTCGTTTCTTCCTATCATAGTATTATCTCACATATTTTCATATTAAAATATTTTTAAATCGATACTTATGGTAACATTTATATTGTACATTCACACATCACATACACATGATGTGTATATATTTTTAATTTTATACGTAAATTGTGACTTGCATCTTTGCCTAAAAAATAAATAAAGTGATTTTATTTTTATTGCAGTTTAGTTAAAAAAATGTGGCCCTTAATAGTGAGATCCTTTGGCCATTTTGGTAAATATATTATGCTTCCTTTTGTGGGTATTATTGGATTCATCGGATACAACGTGGAGGGATGGATATCTGACCGTTACACACCACCAACACCATCTATTAAGCAACAACGGCAGGAAAGATTACTACAAAATATAGATTCCTCGGCTACCATAAAGAAACACAATCCTTTAGAAGTTAATCTTCCACCATCATTATCTAATTAGGTATACATTTTATTATAAATTGTTAATTATTTATATATGATATAAAAGATAATAAATACAGAAAGTTTAAATAAATTTTTAGTTTATATTATACACAAAATATCAAATTTAGCAATATAATTATATTACAGAGATTTTTTTTTTATATTAACAAAAGGATAATGATATAAGATTTTTTATTTAATATTTGTTTTGTTTTTTTTTCAGTTTACAGATATCAAAATGTCTCAAACTTTTACTCCAAATTTATATATAACAATGTGATTGTATTTTACACCTGGTCGCAGTATGCTGTTTGGGAAGTTTTCCTGTAAAAAATCATAAAATCAATATGTAATCTTCTTAAACAGCTTGATCCTAGTAAATTAAATCTATAGTTTTGAATTGAAATTTATATTTGACTCTCAATTTATACTTTTATCACTGTGATAAAAACTTTGTATTTACAGTTTATATCATATTGCAATGAGATCGCGACAGTAATGCGACAAGACTTGGTGCAATTTTTTTACGACAAATTATCAGCTTCTACAAGTCTAATCTTGAAAGAAACCTACATGATTTACAGCGTCGGGATAATTTTGCGTCTCCAAGCAGAAAGCTGCATGTTTGAAATACCGCGCTCCATCCTTGCCGAGAATACCCGTGTTGTTCCTCTCAGGCAAAAAATTAGATGTGTAAAACTGAACGCCGGGCTGATTCGAGTACACTTCCAAGCTGCGTCCCGAGGCCGGATGCAGTACTTTAGCGACGAGATCTCTCTTTTTGTAATCGTGCGGTTCTGATAAACAGAAATTGTAATCGTAACCGCCACCCGGCACTTTATCAATAACATCGCCGAGCACAGTCGCATTCCTCAAGTCCATCACGCTGTTCTCAACCGGCCGAATTTCACCGGTCGGAATGCTTTCAGAGTCCGTTACAGTCCAGTGATCTGCATTCAAGGTGAATATGTGTTTATATAATTCCTCCGCATTTGTAGTCTAAAAAAAAACATTAACGAGCATTATAATAGTAACCTTTTCCAATTGATTGATTAATAATACAGAAAAGTATCGCGCGTATCCGAGAAATAATTACAATCTGATCTCTCAGCATTTTTCTATGACACAAGAGAGAGCACAGAAATGAGCACAATTAAAGTTCTCCAACATTATTACTACACATAAAAATATATCAAGTTTGCAGCATTGCAGTGCTATTTTTATCTTGTTCCAGTCTTATTGAATAGAGAGAAAATACAATGGAGAAGTTTTTTCTGGAGATGAATACTTTATAAAGAGAGATAAGTACTACATACATGTCCAGCAAGATTGAAGTAGCTATGATTTGTCAAGTTAATCGGCGTTGCTTTTTCGGGCGACTCAGCTGTCATATCTATGTGCAGCTCTCCATCATCAGTCAGTCGGAAGGTAACACATGCCGTTACTCTTCCCGGATAACCCTCATCTTCATTTGGGCTGATCAAGGTCATAATTACACGATCATGATCGATCGAGGCATTCCAGACCTTCGAGCTCCAACCGTGAGTTCCGCCATGAAGACTGTTCTCGCCTATATTCCTCGATACCTGGTAACGCTGACCATCCACAACAAAGGTTGCCTTGCCGATACGATTGGCGACACGTCCGATGGTGGCACCGAAATACGGGTTACTCGATGACTGATATTCTGAAAAATGTTATAATGCTTAATCAAACTTGTCACTTTTGTCTTCCGAATAATTTTAACTCATTTCTTTGATTTTTTTTCAAAGAACAGGTCATATATAATAAGATCAATTGAATTGATCATTCGAATATCTTATCGAATATTCTTTCCTATAAACAAGTTGCTCTCATTATCAGATTACCTTCGACGTTATCGAAACCCAGTACGACGTCTGCTATGTTACCCTCTTTATCTGGCGTTCGGATGGCGGTTACTGTCGCACCATATGTCACAACATCGACTTCTTGGTTGTTGCTATTTGTCAGTGTGTACTTCTCAATCTCCTGACCGTTCACAGAACCCCATTTTACCATTGTGATGGATTTTAGCGCTGTCGCAGCCATGATCGTTCTGAATAAAGATAAATTTAATATAGCACATTTTTATAAAACATAATATGAATATTGAAATCATTCACAAATTTCTTTTTTTTTAAACAGGAATGAAGTCTCGACGTACATTTATTGATGTCTTCAATTTGTACGTGTGAAATGCGAATTCGATTTTCTAATGATATGTTCCGCGAAGATGAACTGAAATGCGAGTACTGCGCGCGCTAAGAACACTTAAATGATGTATAGAATGAGTTATCCGCGCTATCATTACGAAGATAGATTACAATATCCAACGCTTATTGGTAGCGTCAAAAGTACGTGCTGTTATGTCAAATCGTGTATCGTCCAAGCATTCGCAGAACGTCATATGATATATATTTAAAAAATATTTCATCTTGGGTCTGTTCTTTATAGCAGAATTGGCTGCACTAGTTCAGAGCTTAGAGTTTATCTTTCTCTTTCCAATGTGGAGAGTAAAAAATAAACTCTGAACTAATACAGCCAGTTCAGCTATAAAAAACAGACCCCTTATCTTGAAAAAGCAAATCCGTTACTCGCATAAACGCATTATGTAATAAGTATAGCACGATTCAGAAAAAGTATTACTACAATATGACGCGATCCTTCTTAATTATGTGTAATCTAAATAATTATTTATTTTTTAACTTTATTTGAACACATGAAAAATTGTTTATTTTCTTAGCATTCATATTTTTCAGAACTGATTTAAAAAAACGATTTGTATATACGAAACTAATCTTCAATTTTCAAAAAATATCGAGGATTTCGAAGAAAAATTACTGTTTAAATTATTGAAGTTACTTAAAGAAATGGAGAAGAAAAGATATAAAAAGATGTGATTCTTACCCAAACCAGAAAGGAAGAAGTAGATATACGGAAAAAGAATGTACAAACATTGTTAATTCACAAACTTCACGATCTCGTTATCGGTATAAAGAATCGAATATAAAACGATATGTTATATGTATGTATAATATATATGGAGATATTTTTATTAGCGGATTTTATCATACACAGCGAATGACGCGAACTTTTAACAAACCGTGCGCGTTTTATATCGGCGATATATATTCCGGGCGAGATGTTTTTCTTAAATATTTTCCATACTGCTTATACGCGTGAAAAATCTTTCTTTGTTCTCACAAATATGTAAAATATTGCACGGTAGTCTTATGTCACTCAATGCTTAGAATGTATTGCCTGGTACATACAAGGTCACATTTAATATTTCCAAGAGAATTATTCAAACTATGATGTGTATATAATGAAAAAGAAAATTGACAAAAAAGTAAAAAATTAAAGATATAAAATATAAAGATTTTTGTTGTAAATCAAATTATTTACATTTGAGAATAATGAGAATAGTGATATCAAAATTATTCAGTTTCTTTATTTGTGATCTAAATATTACTTTCTATCTCATTCATTCCATTGTTATACTACAATAAACAGGTAATTCAGAAAATTAATATTTTTTATTCGATATTATATTATAATTTATATCATTAATATATAAAAAAAGTTATACAGTTTTCAGACTTTTATTTTTGACATTAGATGCTTACTTTTACGGAAATATAAATTTTTCAAATATCATTTTTTGTGGTAATAAATAAGAATTTTCTTTAGTACAAACATTTCTATCCTAGACTAGTTCTCACAAGGAATCCACAAAATTATAAAATTTCTCAATTACTACAAAAAATCCTTTTCATTAGATACCTCAATTTAATATTGTGTTCTTATTATAGTTTGTAAAGTTGTGAATTTAATGTACGATTTCTTTCACACTCCTGAAATGTATTTTTGCACTGTAGTTGTAGTTTTAGTTTTTGCGAATAGAATTTCCCTGGAGAGTCTTAATCCGCATTCACTGTTGTTGCAACTTTTGTTTCAATTGCGTTTATCAAGGCGTTCGTGACGTACATTTCCTCTTGTATGCTTTTAAATTGTATGTTAATATCATGCGTAGCTTTTCGAATGGTTTCTAGATTCTGCAACAGATTCAAGCAAAGTATATCTCAGCAAGATGTAATTTATATAAACATAAGTTTACGAAAGTTTCGCGTAACTCTACCATATTTATGTTACTGTAAAGCGCCATTTCCTGTTCCTTCGTTAATGGCTCGCTAAAGGACTGTATGGATGATGAATATGACGAATTCGCCATAACGTAAAATTATGAAATTAGAATCCTATGAAATATTAAAGGCCGTATTAAGATCGTATCAGACTATGCATTGAAAATTGAAGATTAAAGATTGGAATTTGACTAATCAGGACAAAAGGGACTAAAATTTCTTTGTCCTGATTGGTCAAATTTCAATCTTCAATATGTAGTCTGATATTGAAGACCTCGCGCGGTGACAATGCGAAACTCCGGTTTCAGGGTTACCAACGCTAAGAAATAAATTCTCAGTCTTTGAAGTGGATATATATATATATATCTGTCGTATCAATATTATTTTTTTATAAAACAATGTGTCATTCTCTCTTCATTTTATAATTATATTATATTTAATAGAGAAAAACATGAGTAGATTTTATATATAATTAATATACGTTAAAAAGAGAAAACGAGTTCAAAAATTCAACAACAATAAAAGAACATATGCATGTCTTAGATTAAAATAAATTATACTTCAATCAAAATAGTTACTTATACTTCTGAAATATATATTGTTTACAAAGCTATAATTTGATTTATAATAT